GTGGCTGAGTGTGTTTTTGGTTGTGTCTGTGTCTTCCAGTCTGTCCATTGAGATTTCATCTCACCCCAGTAAGAATGGCTAGCATTAAGAAATCAACCATTAACAAATGCTGGCGAGGCTGTGGAGAAATAGGAACTCTTCTCCACTGCTGGTGGGACTGCAGACTGGTGAAACCACTGCAGAAATCAGTTTGGAGATTCCTCAGCAAACTGGGTCTACAGGTCCCATTCAACCTAGCTATTCCCCTTCTGGATATTTTCCCAGATCTGAAAACATCATATAACAGTGATATATATGCACCCATGTTCATAGCAGCACAATTTGTAATTGCTAAATTGTGGGAGCAATCCAAATCTCCACCCACCGAGGATTGGACAAAAAAATTGTGGTACTTTTATATAATGGAATATTACTCAGCTATAAAGATAAACTAGAGACTTTTATAAGTAAATGGTCACAACTAGAGACCATGCTCCTAAGTGAAATAAATCAGACCTGCATGTATACGCATATTATCTTAGTGTAAGACCTGCAAAAGTGAATAAAAACTAGGAGGTATGATAGACATTGTGAAACGAAAGGAGAATGTCAAAAGTAAAGGGCAACCAGGGTGTGGGAAAAGAGAAGGGAAAGGGGAAATCAGGTAAGTATGTATATACAGGATAGCTAACATAGTTGTACTACTGTCTCCTATTGCTCTACAGAAAGGAACAGTTAATGATTACTTGTTTGATCAATCTTGTATGTCTCTATTTGTTTTCCTGAGAAACCACTTTGAAGATATCAATAAGTAATACAACCACGTTTAATTTCCTACAACTTTGTCTGTAACTCTGTTTTGTCTGCATTGTTCTTATGCTATGTAAATGGATGTCTATTTGTTAAGGTTTTCCTTCTTTTATTTCTTAAAATAAAAAAGCACAACACACACAAAAAAATAAAATTAGAATTTTAAAATCATTAATAATCGGGCTGGGGGTATAGCTAAGCAGCTTAAGCGCTTGCCTGGCAAGCCTGAGGTCATGAGGTCATGAGTTCAATTCCCGGTACCAAAAAAAAAAAAAAAAAAAAATCATTAATAATCACTTTACCTTTTTTGCAGGGGAAGGGGTATGGGATTTCATGTCTTCAATCTAACATTATATTCTGCTCCTTTAAAATATGATCTTTTTGATTACATTTACTCATCTCTTCCCCAACAACACTGAACTGATTAAGTCCTACTGACTGTGCCTCTAAAATATCCTATGACTCTCCCTGTCACCAGTGGCTTTGTTATCACATCTGGACTTTTTTTTTTTAATTCCCCTGAACTATTTTAAGTCTTACAACTGGTTTTGTGGTGGTCCTACTTTTTCTCAAATCTATCCTCCATGCTCAAGCCAGTGATTTAACTAAGATGCTTATCTGATAAACCACATAAATTTTCCTGCTTAAAAATCTTTTGGTGGCTCCATCTAACTTGTCCAAGGTCTCAAATCTTTTTTTTTGGAGGGAGGAGGTTGTCCTATTTTTTCAACCTCCCTGGAAACTTCAAACTCTACCTGCCATATACAATCTATCCCCTTCCTTGCGTTTTTCTATATTCTACCCTACCTGCAACACTTTACTCTGTATTATACGTGAAAGAACAACTAGCTACATTGTGTAGGGAAGAGCTATAAAAAAAAATATGGCTGAAAAAGGTTCTATTTGAAGTCATCTTAAAATTCAGGTTGAATCTGGGCATGGTGGCACATGCCTGAAATCCCAGCACTCGGGAGGCTGAGGCAGGAGGATTGTTTCAAGGAAACCAACCTGGACTACAAAGTGAGCTCAAGGCCAGCTTGAACTGCAGAGCAAGACCCTGTCTCAAAAAGCCAAAACAGGGCCGGGGATGTAACTCAGCGGCATAAGTGCTTGCCTGGCAAGCCTGAGGTCATGAGTTCGATTTCCGGTACCGGAGGTCTCCCCCGCAAGAAAAAAAAAAAGCCCAAACAAACAAACAAAAAAGACTCAGGTTGAAAAAAAAAAAATGGGTGACTTGAGCATTACCCACCCAAGGATTTGCCCAGGTGTAACGATCAAAACTCCCACTATATATAGAACATCTGGAGATCCTAACGTGAGTCAACAGCAGATTATCTGGGCAAATGGTAAGAACTGCTTGAACTATGGCATCAAGAGTAGCAATCAGGAAGAAAGAATTTGTAATTCTCATTGGAGACTGCTATACAGGGTTAAGCTGCTGAACACAGGGACCTCTGCCTTGCTGGAAAACAGCATATGCATGGTGCTCTGAAGTCAAGATAACCACAGCTGAGGCAACCAAGGACATGGGCTGCTCACAGACGCTATTCCACAGCAGTATAGCTGCCAACCTTAGAGGTAAGACAGTTCTCTTAATTGGCAAAATTTATTACTTGGAGGAGTCTTCGAACTGACTCCCAAGGTCCTGCTCAGTTCCCAGGATTGCCTCAGTATCCCCTTTGTGTGGAACCAAGTCTAAGTATGGGTCCCCCACAGAAGTTCTTTGTCTCAACCCTCAGGGAATCTCAATTTCTATTAGAGGGTTTTGGGCCTCCTGGAGCCCTACAACCATAACATTTGTCTCTTTTATTTAAACTGTTCACTGTCCACACATTTAGGAGGTAGTGAGCTTGACTAGTGTACATGGTATCTAATGATTTGAGATACTCCATCACCCACTCACATTCTCCCAAGTGCATTCTAAGACTCAGTTTTTACATAAAAGGGAAATAGGTTAGTGATGTTGAAGAAAGAAGCAGTAGTAATGAGAATCAAAACTAAACTCAGAACAAAGGAGAAAAAAATGACAAGGTAGAGAAAACAAGAGGGGCTACTCTTTAGCAAAGTAAGAGGTAAGGAAGTCATCTTGCAAAAGTAAAAAAGAAGGAATAGGAACTTTTGTGGAAATGCAGATAATCTGAACAGGAAATAAAAGGATAATGATGGAGCACTAAAAAAACATTCTATGGGAAGGAGAAGAAATAGGACTGTGCTTTTGTTAGTGTCTCTAAGGACCAGAACACACATAAGATTTTAATAAGTATGTATCAAGCAAATGGAGAACAAAGAGTTTAAAAAGACAGGTTTTAAAACTAGAAACAAAAATGGAATGGCTGAGATTGTCAGAGACAGCATAAGACTGCCCAATATAGACTGATGATCAAATATCATTAGATTTCAGATCTCTGTAGACATGGCAAAGGATACAGATGAAAGCTCTCATGATTAAAAGGAGACCGGAGTTGCTGATGGTAGGACAGTTTTATGCAGAGGATCACGATGGTAGAATACTGCCTAGACAGTGGAAGTTAAGCAATGAAGTTTTTTTTTATTGATCATACCCCCAGATTATGAAGCAATGTGAATAAATACCTGGAACTGATACAATAATTCTCACCATGGAGATTTCTAAGAATGTTTTATTATTTATATACACTCAAAATTTTTTTAATCCCATGATGAGAAATTATGTATGAGTTTACCTTTAGCATATTTACAACTAAAGCGTATATAACTTTAATAAAATACACACATATATTTGCTATTACCACAAAGTATTTAAAACTGGTGTGTAATAATTTGCATTAATCTAACTCCCTCAAGTAAGGGCTTACACAATTTGAAATACTTACAGTACACTCTTGCATCTCTTGTTCCTTAGTTGCTAGTCGCATTACGAGGATGTTTTCCCTGCGTGCAGACTCTTGCTGTTGTTGCTTTAGCTTTTCTTCCGACTCCCTTAAGCCAGTTACATCATTTGCTGATGATTCAAAGAAAAAAACCAAGAAATTATGAACATAATTTCAAGATCAAACTGAACTAACCAAAAAGAATGTTCTATCTATTTCTGCCAAAGTAATAAAAATTGGCTGAAAAAAATTCATCAAATCTTTAGTTTTGGTCCTATTCTTGTAACAAGGATTTGTTCCTGATCATGAAAAGCTCCTTTAGGAAACAATGGTAATAACACTTTTCCACACTACTTAACATTAGCCTGAATTATGTGTATTTGTTGTTAACCCTGGGTCTTGCTAAGTGGTTCAGGAGGACATTGAACTCACTATATCTACAGTACTTAAAAAATCTGAATTAGCATTTTCTAACCAATTCAAAATAAAATTGCCAATAACTACACGAACAACCAGCACTTAAATCTTACATAATGTTCTTAACTTCTATGAACAATATAGTCATGCATTATTAAAATTTCTGGGTATTAAGCGTTTGGACTTAGAAAACTACACTGACAAATAATGTAACATTTTAAAAATACAAAGTATTATTCTAATTCAACGAAAAGTGACACACTAAAATAATTTAGAATTATTAATTTTGTTGCTATCATTTTTAGCAATTTTGAAAAATCTGTAAATAAATAGTTACATCCTAATTTAAATTCTCATAAATCTATTACTGGTTGATTCTACATACCTCCTTTATATATTAGTAAACTCATGCTTCCATTCAAACCTCTAAGTAGGAATCAGGCATGCATCAAAAAAAATTATAGTAATTTTAAATTATCCTAATACATACTCTCTTAGAACCTTGCACTTAAATTTGCTAAAAATAGTCCTGCCATTATATGGCTATCTTTCTCAATGATTAGAAATTCCTCAAGAGATCACATCTCACTTATCATTGTATTTTCCAGCACCCAACAAAATGCGTGGGCATAATTCTTATAATACAATGACTGAGCAAAAACTACATTTGCTTTAGTAAAACCAGCTACCTCATGTTTGTACAACAATCTAAAAGAAGATGACTATTCACTCTTTAGGGAGACAAAACTCAAAACTTACAGTTAAGATCTGTGTACTTGCCCTCCAAAGCTTGAACATATGCTTCATATTGTTTCCATCTAATTAAAAAAAAAATTCATGTCAGCTGTTACACCGAAACTGCTTTTATTAAATATACCAGAAAATCACTCATAAACTTTTAAGTACTCCTGAGAATTCTGCTGCATTACTTTTGAGATAATTATAAATCTAACTGAACCAATAATAAATTAGTCACCTCATTATTCTTTTTCAATTTATAGGAGACAAGTAAAAGGAGACATAGAGAAAAAAGTCTTCTCCATTGAGAACATACCAAGCTTGATTTTCCAGGTGGATCGTACCCAACCCCAGATTCACTTCTGTATCACTGACGCATAGGACAGAGCCTACATTGTAGATGCTAAATAAAAACCACACACTACCTTCAGATATGCTATCTCTGTAAAATAAAAGGCATATAAGCCTAATTATACATGACAAAAGGCTCTTCTGTAAAAATATGTGACTCTTTAAAAGCGTTTTTCATTTCTCTGTGTTCAGAACCTTTGAATGTCTCTGTTCTAGTTCTCTGTAACATAGTACTAATTTCTGTCTATAGAAGGAGATAGTTGGGTGTGGCTCATGCCTGTATTTCCAGCACTCAGGAGTCTAAAGCAGGGGATGTAGAATTCAAGGCCAGTCTGAGCTGCATGACACCTTGTCTCAAAAAAAAACCCACCAAGAAAAAAAAAAAAAGGCATGGTGGCACATACCTGTAGTCCCAGCACTTGAGAGGCTGAGGCAAGAAGGTCCCTACAAGTTTGAGGCCAGCCTGAGCTACGCAGTGAGTTCAAGGCTGGCCTGAACTACATACGGACCCTATCTCAAACCAACCAACCAACAAAAAAACAAATCAAAAAAAAAAAAAAAGGACCAGGTATGGTAGCACATGACTGTAATTCCAGTACTCTGGGAGGATCACAAGTAGCCCAGACTGGGGAACTTAGCAAGACTATCTCAAAATAAATTTTTTTAAAAAGGGCTAAGGACATAGGTCAGTGTTAAGATGCTGTGTTTGGGCTGGGGATTTAGCTCAGCGGCAAAAGTGCCTGCCTGGCAAGCACAAGGTCGTGAGTTCGATTCCTGGTACTGGAAGAAAAACAAGAAACAAAAAACAAAAAAAAAGATGCTGGGTTCAATCTCTAGTACTTTATATAGGCTATTGCCCCCTGGCAATTACTGCAGGTATAAATAATAAACATTTTCCCAGTTGCCTAGGGATTAAGGAACTCCCAGAAGAGAATACCTTGCCCTGAACACCTGCTATCCTGCTTCTTAAGAGCTATGTTTTCTAGTTGCTTTTCCAATTACAACTAATTAAAATTTAATTTTAAATGAGAAAAAGATTTTATGGTTATAATCAAGGGATGCTATAAGATTAAAATTATAATATGATGAGCAAAAACACACTTTATACCAACCTAATCAACTTTCTCTCTCTTTTTTTTTTTTTGGTTTTTCTCTGGTACCGGGAATCAAACTCATGACCTTGCCCTTGCCAGGCAGGTGCTGTGCCGCTGAGCTAAATCCCCAGCCCTCAACTTTCTCTATAAAATGACTATCCCGCTAACTCAACCCCTTCAATTTGTACAACAGAAAATAAAGGACATTAAGTTCAATGAACTAGTCTCAGTCATACTTAGGAGACAGAATAACTTCATTTAATTAGTAAAAAATGTATTTCTAAGGCTGAGGCAGGACTGTTTCGAGTTCAAGATAACCCTGGGCTACAAAGTGAGCTCAAGGCCAGCCTGATCTGCATGAGACCCTGTCTCCAAAACAAAACAAAACAAAAAAAAAAAAATGTATTTCTTCTATACTAGAAATCATGTTTTTAGGTTCACAGTTTTGTCAAATGTTATACACACAGAAAAATCCCCATCAAAACAAGCCTATTTATTTGTCAAACTGAGAGTGTCTTAAGAGCAGAGTCTTTCTCCACAAGTTATACACTATGTACAAGTTCTTCCCAAGTAACAACTGTGAACATTTTATCTCGAGGGGAGAAAAAATTCAGCATCTGTTCTGGCCTTCAACTTACAATATAGCCCATGCTGACCCCAAACTCATGGCAATCCTCCTGCATCAGCCTCCCGAGTGCTGGGATTACACAGACGTGTGCTATCATGTTCGGCCAGATTCTGTTAATTTAAACGTCACCCAAGCTAATGTTGTAGTTCTTAGAAGTGTTGTGCTTTCCTAAGTGTTCTATAGTGAAGAAATGGGCTACAGCAAGTATGTTCAAAGTACATTAAAAGTGACTTGATAAAAAAACAGTATTTCCCCAGGCGTGGCGGCACACGCCTGTAATCCCAGCATTTGAGAGGCTGAGGCAGGAGGATCGTTGCAAGTTCGAGACCAGCCCGGGCTACAAAGTGAGCTCAAGGCCAGTCTGAGCTGCATATCGAGACCCTGTCTCAAAAAGACAAAAAATAAAACAATATTTCATATAAATATTGCAGCATAAATCACAGTATTTTTATGTCTGATAACAGAACATTTTACCTTAGAATTAACTCATCTCGTGCCATAACTTTGAAGTCTGTTTCACTCAGTCGAACCTATAAAGAAAATTTTTAAAAAATGAACCAAATATTTTTTTGAAGTTAATATAAAGCTGCTAAGGAGGAACTCTTAAGCCAGGCTGGTGGTGCACATCTATAATCCCAGCAATCCTAGCACTTGGGAGGCCAAGGCAAGAAGATCTTGAGTTCAAAGCCAGCTTCGGGTATAGAGTGAGCTGAAGACCAGCTGGTACTACATAGGACTATCTCAAAAAAGGGGGGAAAAAAAGGTGTGGGAGGGGAGATGCTGTACTAAGACCTATGAAACAATTCCTGAGTTTGACATTATGGTTCAGTACTTATATGTTTAAAAATATTTTTAAACATATCATTGGCCGGGCATAGTGGCACATGCCTGTAATCCCAGCACTCGAGAGACTAGGGCAGGAGGATTGTTGTGAGTTCGAAGCCAGCCTGGGTTACAAAGTGAGCTCAAGGCCAGCCTGAACTGCACAGTGAGACCTTGCCTCAAAAAGTCAATAAAATAAGAAGTACCACATCATTAAAAAGTATTTATTTTACTAAAATATTACTTTATTGTATGTTTTACAAGGTCAACTACTGGAGCTGGGCATAATGGTGCATGCCTGTAATCCCAGCTACTTAAATGTCTGAGGTAGGAAGATTACAAGATCAAGCCCAACCTGGAGAGTTCAAGTGAGACCCTATCTCAAAATAAGTAACAAGTTATTTATAGTCATAGTGCTGGGTATATAGCTCAAAGCAAGGGTAGTGGGTTCCATCCCTGGTACTGGGATGGGTATAGAAAGAGGCGAGGTGGGTATAAAAAGTGAGAAAAAAAACAACAAAGCTAGAAATACATGTGCCATATGACCGAGGAGTCCTCCAGACCCTAACTAGGGATAGAACCTAGGGCCTCTTGCACGATAGGCAAGTATTCCACAAATGAGCTACATTTCTAGCCTCTTCTATTTTTATTTTGAGATAGGATCTTGCTAAATTGTCCAAGCTGAGCTCAGGCTTACAATCCTCTTGCCTCAGCTTCCTTGAATAGTTCATTACAGGCATGTGTCACCATGCAGGACTAGCACTTGCACTCTTAAGTGTGTACCTCAGAGAAATTAAACAGATGTTCACAAGAGCTTTATGTGCTAAGAGCCCAAAACTAAAAACTATTCAAATAACCTTCAAAAGGTAAATGTGTGTAAAACTATGACACATCTATTCTACATGAAATACTGTTCAGCAAGAGAAAGAAATAGACTAGTGGTATAAGAAACAACTGGAGTAAACCTTAAGAAAATGACACTAAATGAAAATATAATTTCAAAAAGATACATACTTCATGATTTCCTTTCTATAAACTCATGAGGTAACAGCTATAGAAACAGAGAACTGACAGCTAATAGTTTGCGGTGATGGTTTGGGTATGTCTCAACTGGTGAAAATTACACAAAGCTGTATCTGCAATAAAACTACATAGAGCAAGACAAATACAGAATGTATGTATAAATGATAAAATCTGAATAAGCTTTATGGATTGTACCAGTGCCAATTTCCTGGTTTTCATACTGTTACTCAAGATGACTGAAAGATACATACAAGTTAATTTTTTGGTTTTTTTGGAGACAAGCTCTTACTACGTAGTTCAGAAACTTGTGGCGATCCTCCTGCCTCACTCTCAAGTACTGAGATTACAGGCATGCGTCACCACACCCAGCATAAGATGTTAACACTGAAAGGGGTTCAATGATGTATGCACACAGAACTTCCCTGAACATTTCTTTACATCTTCCTGCGATATCTATAATTTCAAGAGTTTAAAAGGGAGCATAAATTGAAATTGTTTCATAAATTGAGAAGTATTTTGTTTTACCTATGCCAAGTAGTGATTGTAAATGTGAGGCACTTTCAGTTTAGTATAAAATTAAAGCATTATTACTTTCTCTTTAAAAATACTTGGGTTGTAACTATGTGGTAGAACACTTGTCTAACAAGCCTGATGCTGCAGGTTTGATCCCCAGTACACCCTCAACAAATATTTCCAAGTACAGTATTAACTAATAACATAGTAATACTGCAAAAGGAAAGGGGGTGGGGAACACAACACGGGACAGGTCAGCAATGAAAAGACTATCAGAGGAAGCATATAGTAATTCTCACATTACTAATACACAGTATAATTCTTTGTTCATGAATAATTTGATTCCAAAAACGACTACAGAAATTTCCGTAACACATACCTACGTTGTTCATTAATTTTAACTTTAACAAGCACATATGTTGCTTTTCCAACCAAATCACAAATTCCTCCTAGAAACTGCTAGTTCTTTGTTACACTCATTGTGTACATATGCACAGTATATATGTAACGGCAAGGAAAATTAAGATACACGAGAAAATTGAGGTTAGAAAACAAAACTTCGGAAAAAAAGGTAGACTCTTAGCCAGGTGTGGTGGTGCACTCCTGTAATCCCAGTACTTGCGAGGCTGAGACAGGACTGTTGCAAATTCAAGGTCAGCCTGGGCTACACAGTGAGTTCAAGCCAGCCTTAACTACACAGTGAGACACTGTCTCAAAAATAAATGAATGAATGAATGGTAGACTCTTAAGAACTAGCTAGTCTCAAAGCCAGCACATAGAAACACTAACTCAAAACAAACTAATCTAAAAATATGCAAATAGTTTTAAAGGTTATAGTCACAGGGATTCAAATTAAGAAAAAAGATAGTTAATCTGCAAAATAACCTTTCTTGAGGTGCATATATGTACTTTAACGAAGATTACTATTATAAATTCAAGAGGTGAAAATTAAGCAAATAAACAACCCCTTAAACTTTATTCTTAAAACCGTGCTTAAAAACTGCTGAAAAGCATACCTTTTTGGGAAGAGGTTCTTCGTTGGTCATTTTGAATCCTAAAAAAATAAGGTTGGGGAAAAGAGTTTCAATTGATTTTCTTCCAATTAAAGTAGAACAAAAAAAAAAATTACTAGTTCAAATCAATTTATTAGCACACTAAGTTATATCAAATCAACAGATTTTTAAAAATTTAAATCATTTATTTTAGAATAGTTTTTAATTTATAAAAAGATGAAAACATATCAAAGAGTTTATGTAAACTCAATACCCATTTTCCCATCTTTCATTATATGGCTGTTGGGTAAGTTTAGTTTTGCATTACAATCTTATAAACCCCCTATGAAAGACAAGCCAAATCTTAAGAGTGAAGTGGTACATATGCTGAAGTCAGATACTGACCTCAGATAGTAAGCTAGGCATACTGCTGATGGGATATAGAAAGGTATTATCTATTTCTAAGCCCTTCCTTTTACAGCATTACACTGTTACAGTAAGGTAGACTCTACCACAATTATGATAGCTCACTACTCTCCAATGGCTTCATAAATATTTTTAAAATATGTATTTATACCTTAGTGAAAATATCCCTACACTTTTATGTCAAAGAACAATGTTTCAAAATTAGCTCTTGTATAAATGTATTCAATTTGCTTAACCCTGTTACCAAAAATCAAGTTAATATAAGTGGAAAATCCCTTTATAATACTGTCTTTTAGAATAATGTCAACAGTGGTTATTAACATGCACAAACTAAAAAAAAGCCACTGAAGAGAAAGAGACTTGTAACAAATGTAGCTTAATACATTAAAATATAAAGCTGGGAAAAAAATGTGTAAGATAGGAACTGACACACCTGAAATGTTCATATGAAAATTTTATGATCACTAAAATATATGAATCACTTCTGGATATCAGTAGTTTTTTTCTTAACATCTAAACTGTAAGCCAGGTGTTTATGGCAGATGCTGTGATGGCAGCACTGGCAAGGGTGAGGCAGTAGGACTGAGTTCAAGGCAGCCTGGGTTACACAGTAAAGACCATTTCAAAACCAAACCAAACAATCCAAGAAAAACTAGTTCGTGCTTAAAATAATATAATTTTTATAAATTAAGAAATGAAGCCAGATATGATGGTGTACATCTATAACCCCAGCACACTGGGAGACTGAAGCAGGACCACAAATGGAAGCCCATACTTAGAAACAGTGTGCTAATTTATCAAAAAGGCCAAATCCTATTGATTTTTTATTTGCTTTTTCTGACAAAATTATGATACCTTAGTGAGATATTTTTCACATTTGACTTTCATAGCAAAATATAATTTTTGAAGAAATATTCAAGAGTCCATTAATTTTCCCAAGGGCTTTTCTTGATCCTTTGATATTCTAATCTTCTTTTAAATTAATTTTATTGGTACATTTTAAATATGCTTTTCGGCCTGGAATGGTGGAGCACGCCTGTAATCCCAGCACTTAGGAGGCTGAGACAGGAGGATCGTTGGGAGTTTGAGACCAGCCTGGGCTACAAAGTGAGCTCAAGGCCAGCCTGAATTGCACAGTGAGACCCTGTCTCAAAAATACCAAAAACAAAAACAAAAACAAAAACAAAACGAAGAAAAAGAAAAAAAAGAAAATAAAAAATATACTTTTTGATCACATTCATCATTCAGAACTTGTGCCTGTACATGATATACCTTAGTTCCTCTTATTTTCCCATTCCCCTACCCCTCCTCTTATCTACAAAAGCTTTGTTTCCATTTTTTCCTTTTCCTTCCTTCCTTTCCTCTTCTCCCCTCCTTCCTCTTCTCCCCTCCTATCTCTTCTCCCCTGCCTATTTGAGCATTTTTTTTTCCTATTTCGTAATATCCATTCTGGTCCTTACTTACACTTCTGGTTTCTCACAGTAGGTAGCATTTCTAATAGCACAGTTTTTTTCTAAAAGTACATTTATGTATGTTCCTACATTTAAAAATATCTCCAGTTTAACTACTAAAAATTTGACTACAGTATCTGTTGAACCAAGTTCTTTTTTTTTTTTTTAAAATTTTTTTTTTGTGTACTGGAAATCAAACTCAGGACCTTGTGCTTGCCAAGCAGGCACTTGTGCCACTGAGCTATATCCCAGGCCCTGAACTAAGTTTTTAAAAGGTACATTATTTCTTAATGAATATGAGATTCCTTCAAAAGGAGTTTTCAATACCATTTTTACAATCCCAACTCTATAAATCAGATGTTCTAATTATATTATCATTAAACCCTGGTTTTCAGATTATGCTATACTGAAGAAATCAAATGTTTTAGGGGGAAAAAAAATCATAAACTGAGTATATCATAAATTACTGGCTTGCTTCCTCCCTCTTTTAAATCATTTGTCAGTTGAGTGTTGGCTGAGTTCATAAGGCACCTGCCTAACACGTCCAAGACCCCAAGTTGAACCCCAGTGCACCGAAAATCAAACAAACAAACAAACAAACAAACAAACCAATCAATCAACCAACCCACCCAACTAAACCTCCTGGGATGTAGCAAATAGCTGAAACCTAAAGGTATCATTTGTTTCTGAGCTTATTAATACAATTTGCTTTCTGTTTGTGTTTTGAGATGTGGGGGGGCTCTTTTCAGATGAGGTATTACTATAATCCAGACTGGTCTCCAACTCCTGGGCTTAAATGATCTTTCTGTCCTAGTCTCTCGGTAGCTGGGACTACAGGTAAATGCAACCACACTTGGCTCTGTAATTTGTTTTGTTGATTAAGTTTCTGTCCTATGAAGTCATGACCATATTTCTACAATATAAAGTGTTTTTCTATTTTTTTAAATGGTCCTTATTTGTCAACCTTTTATTGTCTAATTTATACATCTGCTATAGTAACAATAGGCTGCTAAGTGACTATCTTCATCTGATAGCAGTCATTCTAATCATTAGGGAAACTTGCATTACGTTTATTTCCTCAGAGGTCTGCTTTTTCTTTTTGCATGTTTATAATGTGCCTTCACATCATAAAGGACTCCTATGAAATCTTAAAACACAAAAAAATCAAAACTAACATTTTCTTAGAATTTTCTGTTTGTTCAAAACTAAAAATAGTAAGTAAACACAAGTGTTTTTTTTTGTTTGTTTGTTTTTCAGTTTTCTTCCGGTACCAGGAATCGAACTCATGACTTTGTGCTTGCCAGGCAGGCGCTTTGCCACTGAGCTAAATCCCCGGCCCAACAAGTGATCTTTTTAATTAAAAAACTCATCTATAAGCTAGGCGTGGTGGTACACACCTGTAATCCCAGCACTCAGGAGGCTGAGGCAAGAGGATCACTGTAAATTTAAGACCAGCTTGGGCTATATAGCAAAACCCTGTCTCAAAAAAAAAAAAAAAAAAAAGCAAAGCAAAGCAAAACAAAACACCAAAACCCCTCACCTACAATGTTAACCATAGGAACTATATATATTTAACTTGCCTATGTGTGTTCCTGTATATGTCACTAACCTTGTTAAACCTATAGGCTTCTCATCTCACCCAACAGTACATCCTTTGCTATCCTCTCCTAGTGGCCTTATTTTTCTTCATAATTCTTAACTGCAGCCCGATATTTTACATACTTACCTGTTTTCCCAAATTATAAAGTAGTAAGCTCCATAATAGAATCATTTCATTCTCTGATGCTATCCTGGTGCTTACTGGGCTGCTAAAACATATTATATGAAATCATAAACAAACTTGCTTCAGTTAGTAGTAAAATCATAGAGGTGAACTTGTTTGAATAAGCCAACCTAATTCTTTCCCAGCACTAATCTAGATGACCATACCATCATATAAAACTTAAAGAAGACAGACCTAAATATAACAGGTACTGTGACAGTTTTATATTCTTTCTTTTTTTTTGTTCCCAGGAATCAAACTCACGACCTTGTACTTGCCAGACAGGCGCTATGCCGCTGAGCTATATCCCCAACTATGACAGTTTTTTGAGTAACATTTTAAAAACAGCTAAATTTATCCCTAAAGGTAGGTAGTATACCTGTAATCTACCTAGAACTTCAGTTGGAAAATTAAAATATGAGTGTTATTCAAAATAATTTTTAGCTTAAATTTTACTATATGCTTCTACCACCTGATAACTTCCCCTATGTTTACTTTTTTTGGGTACTGGGGATTGAACCCAAGTCTTTCATACTAAATTACATTTCCAGTCCTTTTTTTTTTTCTTTAAAGACAAGGTCTTGTGTGATCCTCCTGCCTCAGCCTCGCAGAGGTGGAATTAACAAGTGTGTGCCACCATCCCTGTTTACTTGTTTATTCTCTTTATATATGGTTGTTGAGATTTTTAGTCCATAAAAAATAAAATTAACTGAGCCAGACATAGTGGCACCTACCTGTATCCCCAGCACTGAAGAAGGCTGAAGCAAGAGGACTGCAATTTGAGACCAGCCTGGGCAATTTAGCAAGACCTTGTCCCAAAATCAAAAGTAGCTCAATGGTATAGATCACCCCAGTTTGTTCTCACTACCACAAAACAAACTACACACACAAACAAAACACCCCAAAATGAAATGCAAACTTAATTAGCATCAAAGAGATGCTAGTCTGCTTTCAAGGATATCCGAAAGTCCAGAAAACAAAGTTGTGGTAACACTGGTTTTCTAGACAACACCAAACTTTGATAATCAAAAAGGGCTAGAAACAATACTGGAGCCTCAATTTTGCCATCTCAAAAAAGATTACCACCATTATGGTCCAAAATTATTGTACCGTTTTTGAAAATGGCACATGAGTGGCATGATGAATGGCACAAAACAGACATTTAATTCTGTTTCTTTCTCCTCATCAAATAAAAGACAGACTTCTAATCAACGTTCCTTAAAACCTGAAGGGAAAGTTTGCAGGATAAAGATAAAGAGTTCTCCTGTCTGTTTCTGAACTTAACTGAGAAAATCTTGGTGAGCTCTAATTTTTAGAATTCTTAAACAGAAATTGCTTTTACTTCTAACATATTTCTAACATAGGCTTACGATTATTTCTCTTTTTCAGTGATACAGTGATTGCCTAGTACAAAAGGCCCTGG